AAAAATGCGTTTCTAAAGTGCATAAACTTTTGGGATTGACTGTATAGCCAATACATCCTTAACTCGTGAACGTTTTCGATTATGTAAACAACCAAGTGCAAAAAGATCTCGTTAGGTTCTTCTTTCTTCGCGACAAATTTATTGTTCGTCGTATGCATTAGCTAAAAGTTCCATTAACCCGCATGAAATCCGGACCGCGCGTGCCAAGGCGGCGGGGATAGGCAATCCCGCGCGCCGTCTCCACGCAATTCATTTCTCTACACAATTTTCATGGGTTCTTAACGAGTTTCGTACCCGCGACGTGAATCACAATTTAATTTACTCGCGATTATTACGATCGAGCCAGCGTTACCAGAAAATGGTGGCAGAAAAATGGACGATAATTCTCTCAAATTAAATGCTCACGTCTCACTTTTCACGGTCCCGAGTATTTAAACACAGCAGTGCGCCCAAATATTTTATCCCCCGTTTCTGTTAGTCTGAATAATATAAATCGAACGCGGACGAAACATTAAGATCGTACGTAATAATGTATAAAAATGCGACGTCAAAAGCTGAATATAAAAAATTGGAAATTCATATTTTTAATTATATGTGTTCCATTCGAATTCTAGAAATTCGTGCAATTTTTCATGTGTGCTCGATAACAATAAATTTCCCTGTGAAAACGGAATGCAGAATCGCGTCGAAAATCGAGCACAAACAACGAGCTGGTATCTAAAATCTCAACGGAGCAGTGAAACGCGAACGGCGATTCTGGTACACGGCGTAACGAGGTTCGAGCGAGGCCGGGCCATTAACGCCGTATGCCTAGGTAGAATTCGTAGGTGGACGAATCCACGGGGACAGTACCAGGGAAGGGTAAATTCCCCAGGAGTCGGTGATCGCCGCCCGTTTGTCCAAAATTGCTTCGCTTGTGATCGATGGAATATGCATTCCGCGCGGTGCGAAAAATTCCGTCTTTCCATCGCGTGCGTACAAACTCGTTCAGAAGTTTCGCGACTCGTACAGTCGAGACATTTATTAGCGATCAGTAAGTCGCAGATTTTTATGCAAAATAGAACATTTCTAAGATCCAGATTTCTTTCACCCGAAAGTAATAGTCGAGATGTTTCTCTCTCGATGTTACGCGTATTCTTTATATTTTCTCCACGTCTAATTGATCCGCTGCCAAAATTATTCAAAGTTCAAAATTGACGCGGTAATTTTTAGCGACGTGTTTTACAAGAAAGTAATGATCGATCCTTGAAGATGAACCGTGAACATTTGATTGAAATTCAGAGACCTCGAAAACCTCTCACGAAAATTTCAATAGACTCTATCTATCGTAAAAGCCACTGCAAATATTTCCGAGCCTCGATGGAACCATCCTAAGCCTTATGGGGGTGAGTGTATTGTATGCATATGCATAGGTCACGCATTGTGTTTCTCCAGCTGTACAAGCGGCGCCCTGGGCTTTTAATTAACTCGTTTTTGTTTGTCCGGCCACCGGGTAGCGGCCCCGCGCGCGATGGAATTCCCGAATCGGGCTCGCACGCGAAATTGCATTTTTCTTCGTCGCCATTCTTCGAACGTCATGCCGTGCCAGAGAGGCTGTCGCGTCGCATAGCGGGCAAATTGCGCGGGCGAAATTACGCTATTCAGTCGAATCGTACGTTTTCAACCGATTTCGTTTAATCCATTCAATGATCGATGAAATTTTTCCTGGTATTGAACCGCAGTCAAAGTTATGAAACTCCCGTTCGTCGCTTCAGCTACGACCATTTTTTATATTCAAATGTCTGCACGGCGAATTTTTTATTAATTATAGTATTCAATAATTGTGATCTGTCATCAATTTTATATATTTTACTGAAACGCGATTGATGAAGTAACGTCCAAATTAATTTCTGTTAATCGGACGACTATTTAGAGGATCAATTGAATTAATCATGCGACGGATTCAAGTGTATAGATGCATAATAAATCAGGCTTTAAATAACACGCGGTGTCTAAATTAAATCTAAGTCGCGTCCGAAATTAGACGTATCTAAATAGTCAGTTAAAACTCCGTCTAGTTTCCAAATTTCAGTGGTCCTTCGGAAATGATCGCAACTAATAATAGTCACGTGTACGCGTCTTGCCAAAGAAATTTTGTTGCTTCGCCCTGACCAGACGTAAATCGTAACCAAAATAGATAACAAGTCTATCAATTAAATAGAACGCTTTATATCGATTTACTGCATCGAAAGTATTTGAAAATTGTCTACCACTTTAATTCAGAGTTTCCCACGATAAATATAATGATTTTGCAACCATGAGATACAAATTCTTAAAATAAGCATTTCCTTTCGAAGTGATTTTAAAATCCAGTTCGTCATGTCGATAGATCGTTCGAGCCAATCACTTGCACGTTAAATCTCTACTACGTCATTCGAACTTCTAGCGACAGATTTAAGAGCATGCTGGATACTCCGAGATTGGAACGGGTGTTCATCCTTTTCACCGGTTGTCTGGAATCAGACCGCGTGAACCAATGAAGCTTCCACCGTGGCGCACTTACGCGCCGGTATGGCACGGCAGTCCAATTTATAATAGACTGGAACACGGTGTGGATTTAACTTGGGATGTAGGCCACCCAGTGGCACGTGAACGCGCGTCCGGATCGCGACTGCCCGTTTTCTCTCGCCCAAAGTTCTCTCATCCTAGGCCTGACCGACGATACCGACCAGACGAGGGAGAGGGGACCTTGACGGAACAGGTGCATTTCACGGATTCGACGGATTTATTCTTGAAACTCGTACAAGCGTACCATGAAACTTTCAGATGAATAGCTCGAGCGTTAGTTTAATCGGAGTTCGAGGAATCAGGATGAATGATTTAAGGGTCGAACGTGAGTGAAGTAAGTTCGAAGACTCGCGCCGATAGGATAAACTCGTTTTCGATAAAACAGAACGTTTTTTATAGTGATCTGTGGAAGTTCTCGATCCAAGTGCGACTGGAAAAAGTGTATTCAACGATTGGTAATAGTTCGACGTAAAGATCTTGCCTCGTCCACTTCGTAAATTAAGTACTCGATCGTAAGTACGGTTCAGTGTCGAGAGAATGTTTAATGCAATTTATGTTGCTTTTGCATACACTGTGCTTTTAGCCTGGCTCGTTAGTCGTACGAAACAGTTGACGAGTGCCAAAATCGCAATCAAATATTCTAATTTAACATTACTTCCGGATCACGTGGCTCGCCGAATTCATCGATACGATAATGTCACTCGCAATAAATAGGAAACATTTTCTCAGTTCCTTGATTAGAAGTCGATATCTCGTTTCCTTTGACGAGCGAACGTAAAACACGGTTTACTCTCAGTGCGGAGCGATTCCACGTGCATCGGACATAATCGTAATCATTACGAATTCCCCGGCCGGCATGTTTATGGATCAATCCAGCGTCGGGGCACGCAAACGGCTCGGCGCATCAGTAGGTACGTGCAAATCCGTGCGGCGGCGTTCATTCATAAGTTTATGGCGCGTGAAATGTGCCGCAGGAATTTACATACCTACCAGGTTTGTAAGCGCGTCCTCCTGGCCGAAACCCCTAAACGTTACCACCCCCGCCGTCCCGGAAAACTGTGACCACTCTCTGTTAAAAACATCGCCGTCGCATTAACACGGCGGGACATTCATCGAATTACCCGGCCCATTAAGCGATCAACGAACTCCCCGTGCAACTCCTATTCGATTAACAGAGATTTTTACACTTCAAACGAAGCGTTCCATCCTCGTAAGAGGATGACTCACGGAAATCGATGCGTCGACCCCGAAAATCGAGTCGCGTCCGACCCAGAAGGATTCTGCACCTGTCAGGGCAGAACTCGCGCGTGTTACCGAAGCGAAGCGGAGCGGAGCTACGCGGAAGGGAGCGGCGGGCAACGGCGCTCGGCCGCGACCGTTCCTCGTTTCTGGGGTAATTTTAGATCGGCGAGATAGCGGTGGTTGCCGTTCGCGTACGCGTGTCGGTGCCGGAAGGAGAATGAGACGCGCCACTGCGAGTGGGGAGGAATAACAGCGTGGAGGGGTAGAAAAATCCGTCGACGAGAAATGTTTACGATAGAGAAAACGAAACGGAGAAGACGTAGGAGGACGGAGAGGTGACGTTTCCTATGGGAGGAACAAGGCCGAAGCGGAAGATCAGGGTGAGACATAGCGATGGGACTGATCCGATTTCAACCGAAACCGAAGACCTAGATTCGCGAAATTAGAATCACTCGGAATGCGGTCGAATGCCCTTCTGGATATCAGAATGAAAGACCTGTCTTTCATTGGTGTGTCAATCATAGAGAATTTCAAGACGCTTGTATTAAGAGAGGAATCCAATTAAAAGTGGAACAGGCAGATAACGAGAGAGATGTATTTGATACCGTGAGATAGTTCGCTACGAGTCAGAAGCCTTGTCTAAAAGTTAAGTAACTCTTCATCGAAACGTATTGTTCGCTGGAAGCTGTAACACGTAATATCTCCTCTTGGAGCAAATATAATAAAAGTCGCGGGAGTTTTTATTGGTGTACTTGAACGAACTTTAACTTGCGCTCTTTTTGAACTTCTCTCTTTCACTAGAACCGACTCGAATCACTTCGAGTCCGTTGCTGACCGACGAAGAGAACGACGTGAAACCGTCGGGGAGAGGAAGACGAAGAAACGGGTGTGAAAGAGAAGGCGGAGCGATGTGGATCGTTCGAGAGGTGGCAGCGCCGAGGCGTGAGAATGAAGGAGAGAGAGAAAGAGAGAGAGAGAGAGAGAGAGAGAGAGAGAGAAAGATGAGAGAAGAGAGGCCACGAGTCCGGGAGTGAGTGGTCTACTCGAACGCAGTTATGCCGACCAGCTCAAACCGGGTGCCGCCAAATCGAACCCCGGTTCGAATTCCGCACGGCCGTGGCCGCGAGAAGACGGAAACGCAAGGAGAATCGGAAGACGAGGAGGAGGAGGAAGAGGAAGAAACGAGCCGAAGGAAACCGGAAGCAGCAGGGTAGACAAAAAGCGTTGGCGCCGGCGAGAAAAAGCGACGAGGAAAAAAAGTTAAAGGAGCGAGGTACGAAGAAGCTTCCTGCCTTCCCGTGTGTACCGGTGTAGAAAAAACAGGGGGTCCGAAAGGGGGAATGCTCGCGGGACGAGAACGGGGGGTACGGTCGGGTCGCGTTCGGCGAGGTAGTAAGAGATAAAAAAGAACGTACAAAACAGAGAGGAGGTCGGCCAGCGAGCTCCCGGTCGTTAGTGAGGTGCGAGCGAAAGAAGGATGAAAAAAAGGCATTGTTGCCTGTGTCTGTGTTCTTTCTTGCGATTCTTTTTTCGTCCCTTTTTACGTTACTTCTTTCGTTCCTTTTTCCCTTTCCTCAATTCTGTTTCCTTCTTTTTATGCTCCATTCATTTGTTCGTTTTGCCAACCGAGCGAATGTGTGTCGCGTGTGACAGAAGCCTGCCGCTCTTTTCGTTCTCTGCCCTTGCCGGACTGTAACGTGATTTGAACGACGTTACGTTTTCAGAATATAAGAAGAAACCTTGTCCTCTCTAGTGAGTCAAGAGAGACAAACGTTCTCTCCGTGAATTTTGGGAGGAACGTATCGAGAGAGTCGTGTGCCAGTGCATTCGGATCGGTAATCAGTTTTCTGCCAAAAGTGGAAACCGCGTGGCTCGCGTCGGGCGTCGGGTTCCTTCGGGTCAGAGGATATTTTCTGCGGCGATGATTCACGGACGGCCGGCGATCATATGGCTCGTATTTACGATGCGGATTGAGATTCGACAGCGGGAAATTGACACGCGAGACAAACAGACAGTGAGTGGAAAAACCGTGGAACGATCGTACACACGACTTTGACTTCCATCGAGCCTATTTCTTCTGGTAGGTCTCGCGTGATTTATTAAACCAGAAAACGTGCACACAATCCTCAGGTAGTAATTAAGTTATTTTGTTATTGAGTATTCGTAGAATAAACATGATCTTATCTCGAGTAGATCGATCTTCGTGAAACTAATAATTCCCTGCTGACTCAATTTAGAGAGTTGCACGAGGCATTTTCCAAAGACTCTATATATAGCTGTTTCAAACGAAATTTCATATTGACCGGTTCATATGCCAACGATACGTAGGCGAAGGAGCAAACATACGATTGATTATTATTTTTTCATTACGAATTTTGGCTGTAAAAATGAGAAATGAATTTGGGAGCCGGAGAGGATTCGCGACAGAAAAAAAGTGTATTTCTGGATTGTCCGCGTGTCAGTCGTTCCGACGATTGTCAGACGGGCCGTGCTGAAAATTTTCACTGTTTTCTTTCACGCCTATTAATACCCGGCCGCTGTTTGGATTACGAATGGTGGTTTTAGGAATGCACGTATACATGCGTACGTCTTCCCATTCGTTTCCATTCACCGAAGAACGTGGCCTACGTTCGATAATTTATTTTCCCGCCCGTAGCCTGCCTAGCCGTTGTTTCGCGTTTTTCACCTTTACGATTCTTTTTCTCCACCAAACCGAACAGTGTTCCCTCGCTGGAGAAACGCGAAGAGCGAGGATAAATTATGACCCCCGCGTTTCGCCCTGCCGCGCGCCAGACCACCCTTTCGTTTCGATTGAACATCGAATCTAGGATACCGCAAAGAAAATATCGAAAACGCGGATCGCAAGGCTTCTTCTTCCTTTATTTATTATTCTAACATCCCGCACGCCGGTGTTCCACCACTCTTTTAAAACAATTCCACGGTTACGAATAAACAGCCGAATATTTATGCGCAGTTTTATAACTCTCTTTGAAATAGAACAAAGTACTCGTACAACTATTGACTCACGCCCGTGTAACTTACGATTATTTTCTTAACAATTAATTTGAGTCTGAAACCTACGAAATTCTGATCGTATTTAACAAAATGCTGATTCCGTTCGTTTCGCAAGTCCTAATTCACAGTTCTCGATAATCACCGGGAAAAGATAAGTTTCAGCTAACAAGTCGTACGGAACCCTCGCGTCGTTAACTATCGAGAAGAAAAAGCAGGGAAGCAATTTGGAGACCGAACATCCAGCCGCAGCCCTCGCCATAAACTTCTTTTGTCCTCTCCCGCGGGGAGAGAGAAAACAAACACGAGATCAAATTGCACGCGTATTCGTCAACGGCCACCCTCTTACGAAGTTCGTAAACTACGGGGGGGATGATCACTGCGTCCAGCGAAGAAATAGATTTTCTTAGCGCTTATTCTGATTATCTACTCCCGATCATAAATCATTTTCCTGTTTATATATTTTATTATTTTAAACCGATTGATTGTGAGGTCGATTTTACTATACGCTGCTTGAGAAACGATTTCAGTTGATCGCGTCAGTGGCTTTTATTGCCAAACGCCCCGTGGCTTTTTATTGCAACGTCCACCGAAACGACTTCGACCGGTCGAAACACGGACTGCACTACCCTTGGAACGGCGATAGTTACCCCGGGCCTAATTTTTCCTGTCGCAATTCCGACGACCCCCTCGGTTTTTCCGTTTGTTTCGTCCGCCACCGGGAAATTTCATTTTCCTTGTCAGCCATGTGAACGGGAGGAGCAAAAAGGCCGCGGGTAGCACGGGGAGGTTCGACGTGTGTTTTTGACAAGGCTAATTGGGGAGGTCGGTCCCGGGAAATAGGATGAAAATTCCGGTGCCGGTGAACGGAGCGGACTTTGAGACAGTTTACGCTTTGTTTCTCGTTTTCTTTCTTCCCCGTGTTTGTTCTTTTCTCCCTTTCATTGGCCGTTTATGTTTAGGATGGAAATGGAATTTCCTTTTCGGATCGTTTCGCGAAAACAGATTTAGTCACGTGTACAAGTATTTACTGCCAGAAGTTTATTTTAGATCGACGGAAACTCGGGAAACTTTTAAACGCGTCACGTTTTCTAGTGGTAACAATTTCACGGAGAGACAGTGAAGAAACTGGTTCGAATAAAAAAGTATCTGTTTGCGAAAAAACGAGGAACAGAGTACGTGACGCGATGCTTAAACGATTAGAGGGGCACGTTCCGTTTAAATAAATGTTCTATCCCGCATAAAAATTCGCACTTCAGTCGTGACAAGCCGACGGCGAGTGTCGCGGAACGCGTTTAAGTAGTCGAGCCGGTGACTGGTCAGACAACGCGTGTCACACCGGCGGTGACGGATAGCCGCGTTTCGCGTAAAAAAAATGACGAATCTTTGTTATTCTTTTATACCCGTGTAGAACGAGATTATAATTTATCTGTTAGAAAACGAGCCCGGTGGTCAGCTTCCAGCCGGTTTAACGGCGCCGCGGTGCGACGCTATTTCTGTTCCGAGGCAACGACTTATCAAAAGAAACGAGGCTCGTTTGTCGGGGATCGATCAACTTTTCATCGCACGCGATTTCGAAAGAACCGGAGGGCGAGGAGCACACGTTAATAATCGCGCGACGCGGATGAAAGTTTTATTACCCCTCTTTTCTCGTCTCTTTACACCACGGTGAAACTGCTTTTTTACCCGAGAGCCTACGAACTCGTAAAACGGAACAAGATGTCGAGAAAGATAAACTTCTGTTTTAGAAACCGGCGGAGAGGTCTCGCTCTCGAGGAAAATGAAATCGGAGAGCACTCTTTGAAGAGAAAACTGCGGATTCTCTTGTATATTATCTCGTGCGAATGCTCTAAAACGAAATTACTCCGTGTTTGTTTTCGTTAGCGGAAAAAGCATAGAGAAATAAATTCGTGTTAGAAAAATATTTCTCCACGGCCAGAAAAACTGCATGACTTACGTGTAGATAATCGTCTTCTTATATTAACGAGGAGAAACAGTTGCCAGGATTCAACGCACTTACCTGAAACAGAAAAGAGACGCTCATAAATATATTACGTATTTCAAAGATTCATTTTATTACTATAATTCTTTATGTTGTATCCCACTGCTATTAAATTTATTGTATCTTGTGTATTTGCTGTGTTCTATTGTGTGTACCGCATGTTAACAACATTAATAAAATAAATATTAACAATCACTTTAACCAGAGTTTCTTTAAAACAAATTGCACGTATATTATCATACTAAATTGCAATCCACTTTTCCTTTACCAATGTAAACTTTTCTCTCGCCACGTTCCCAGACTCCCGATTCGAATTTCCTGCCTGAAGTGGTTCTCCAATGGGTCAAGAAGCTTCTCAACCCCGGTTCTTCGTCCGTTCACCCCCACGAGATCCCAGCTAACCCATGAATCACACGCATCCCTTGAAACTCGGAATAATCGCGTCGAAAAAATTCTTCGGGCAAATTTATCCCGCGGAGTTTCGACAGCACGTGGAGGAGCAAAGAGGGAGCTGGGGCTGCGCGAGGGAAGGTTGATTCACGACCAGCGAGTCAGGGGGGAGGGGTTTGGTAACCCGCTTTCGAGGACAGAACGATAACCCAAGTTTAAATTGGAGGGTCGACCACTTAAGATTCAGTTCCATAAACTCGAAAGTTCAGCCCCACTTTCCGCGCGCGAGGGGCACACGGCCGTGGGTGGGTCAGCGAAGCCACCCCTGAGCCGCGACGCTGCAATTAGGCGAGTATTTTCGATCTAATTCAATTAGTCCCCCGGGTAGGAATCATGGCGACGGAGTTAGCGTCTAGCCGTAGGCGTGATTTATTTTGTTAACCGAGTGGCAGCGCCAGATCTTCTGAATGAACTTCCCTGTTTCAGATTTTCATGTTAACCTAGTCCGATCGGTTTTCAGAAATGAGAAATGCCAAGTTGTCGATTGATTCATGCAATCGGAGTATCAAATTGCACGTTATATTTGACGACGTACATCCAGTGTGAGTCAGTACTAAATATTTCAATTTATCTACTAGCCATCGATTTCGCTGTGAAGCCTGACACGAGTTTATTTTAATTCCTCAAGGTATGAATCCGAATTCTCGTCTAAGCTTTTAAAGCTCCCAAAACCATTGACACGCTGCAATGACCTGATTCTATAATATTTTTAAATCTCATAGAATCAGACGTTCTAAACCTGACATTGTTGATCTTCTCCAAATCCCTAGAGATTATTGACACACTGCAACGTCCTAATTTCCCAACGTATCTAAAACTTCTCTGCTGTTACCACTTTTTCCCCGCATTGGAGACGCCCAGCCTTGTAACCCCTAAAAACGATAGAGGCGGTCACTGGTTCGGTCAGTGACAGTGCGCAAAGTGTAGGGCAGCGAGGTGAGACGAGTCAGGACCGCGAAACGCGTAGGGGAAAGTTAGATGTACGCGTATCCTGCGCGTGGAACGAAGCTAGCCCAGCTGGCGGTGCGCGACCGCATGTAAATCATCCGCAACAGGATCCACGGGCCGAAACCACGTGTACCAGCGCACTTCTGTGCGCACTTACGCGGAACGACGCGACGCGGGGCCAACGCCGATGCACATGTTAGCGTGACGCGGGTAAACGTCGGCAACACGTGTCGCGCGAGTAATCCATGGCTTGTCGTTACCTCGACCGTGTTGCGAATCTCGCGAGAGAGTGCACACGCTCCACGCGTGCGGACGACCACCCCTGATTCGCCTCTACCTGCCCCGATCGCTTTTAAACCGCTCACCGCGGTTTCATATTTTTTATTCATTCTCTTCGGTGCCAGTTGCAACGTTGTGTGGTGTAGTTGTTCAGTGAGGCTCTACGAGGAACAGGGTTATCGTTATCATTGAACAAATTCGATGGATTTATAAAGAAAAGTCCAAAGCTTATAAACGTTGAACATTATTCAGAATATCGAGTGAAGAATGTGACTGATTAAAAGAGATAAAGCGGTGGTCGACGAATGTGTGAGAATGAAGTTTTCTGTTGGAAAAGGCGAGTAGTTTCGCAGTGGTAACGAGTAGTCTGGTTTACGTCGTCGAGCCACGACTATCAATATTGCGTATCGATTCTGCGACCGGAAATCATTAAACTGCGCCACCACCAGGTGGCCAATTGGAATATTTTACGACTGTAAAACGCTCCTCAATCGAACGTACGTGTACACACCTGATTCCATTTTTGCATTACCGATAAACAATTTTATAGCGCACGTTCGTAATAACGAGTTTAAAAAAAATTCCAGTACGGAATGTGAAACTGAAATCCTGTATGAAATCATAGACCAGAATAATATTACGTCTTATCGTAAAGAATATTCATTGATCTCTTATTATCTCATATCTTAGATTTTCGACGTCGATCGAGTTTTATTCTGCAGAAAGATTTAGGATTTCAGTTGTAGTTTTACGTGTTATTGTCTGCCGCAGCATGTTCGCCTTCTGTGATTTTTCACTTTCGACTTTTATACGAAATAGACGCAACTATTGTTCGCTTATGTTATTAAAGAAGCAGCTAATTTTAAAACGATTCCCGATTTCGGTGTATTCTTATTGAATATTAAAATATTTGTTTACAGCATCGAGTGTAATAATTGAAGCCTAGAGTGGATGACTTCCTAGAGAAATATCCAAGGAGAATATATTTAAGGAAATCAAAGATTGCTAGTACTTAAAAAAAGTGTAAGTATCAAATTCAATCGTTATTCGTCAATTAAAAATGTACAAATTATTAATCACAGTAATGTCAATTGAGAGAATGAAATTTAAAGTCTTTTATCCCCTTTGAATAATTTTCATCATTTTACCGTTGGCTGGCACTAACATAAGCAATGCGGAGAACAGGAAGATCCTTAAAGACTAAAAAGCATAAGCTGGCGAGTGCGGAATAACATCGTTCCAGATTAGACAGGATCAGGCTGGCGCAAGCAAACATATACAACTCGAACATAGACACGCGATGCACGGTTCTATGAACAGATCGACCTTGCTTCCATCGATGGAAGAATAATAATTATGACGCGCTCGAAAGTTTCAGCATCTGAGTTCGAACCGCGTGTCCACCGTTCGCGTCAGTCGTGGCTCCCTTTTTTTCAAATCTCCGTCCTCTTGATCCCTCTTCATTCAATCCCCTACCCACTTAATCCGTGTGCTGGTCTCTTCGAGTCTCCCCTTTTTCTAGGATTCCCGTGCCTTAATCTCTTTAGTTTCTGACCCTCCTTTGGGTCAGCAGACCTCTAGGTCCTTTTAAACCAGCCCCTCTATAGACGAAGAACACTTCTTCTAGATCCCTCTCTTTTAATTCTTGCCTATTTAGATCTTCAAACTCCCCGGATCCTTTGAGTCCTCGTATCTTTTGATCTGTCCCTTCCTCGAACTACCTCCTAATCTCGTTCTATCGATTTTTCATTCCCTTCGCTCTGCAAACCCGTTTTTAATCTTCTCATTAAACATTTTTTCCTGTCTCGTTTATCTAAGTTCTCTGTTCTCGTCAAATCCACATAATAATTAATAAAGCCTTGATTTATTAAGAAACCGTCAGTCGATCAATGTATTAATCTGAAAATTGTTGAATGAAATCGCAGTTTCGCGCAGCAGTTTCAATCTGTTCCCTATCCCTACGCTTCATCCACTCATCCATCTTTCAAGCGACCCCTCCGTGTTTTTCATCCCCGTTCACTCTTCGCTCACCTTTACCAAACCCAAAAAGTAACGCATCCCACAAACGAACGACACGACGACGACAGTATACACCTGCGCTTTCATGCTCTCTGCCTCTTTGATGTCGCACACGCCAGATCCCCTGTGTGTACGCACCCAGTGAGATGGAGAGAGGCAGAACCCAAAACGGTCTCCAAAGCATAGATTTACGTTCCGCCGACGCGCTCTCGCGACGAGAATGTTTTCCTATTCCGTGTATATACGAAAAGCTTCGCGCGGGTAGGCACCGGGTCCCGGGATCAGCTTTAATCGAGCGTTGCCCCCCTCGGGACGACTTCGCGGAAGGAACGCTTGAAACCAAGACGAGCCTTGGTGACGGTCGACCCGGATTTTCCTGCCCACGAATTTTTTAAGCCACCCGCCGCTTCCCTGTGTAATTCGTTTGCGCACTGCCCGGAAGGATTCCACTCTTTTTTCCCTTTTTCCCGAAACCCTTTGAGCGCTCCGAGAGTCTGATTCGATTTTTTCGCGGTCGTGTTTCCGCTCAGAGATTGCGCTCGTTTAACTTCTTTGTGGCTGATACAATTTTTTAACCGGCCTACCACTGCCAACTTCCTTCCTATTGTTTACTCTAAATCGCTTTATTCAGTTTACGTTCAATGGCATCAGTTCGATCTGTTCTCAAAAAGTATTTATTTCATAAAATAGAAATACTCTCGTTCTATGTCGACATATATTAAATTTACTATATCTTTTAATTTGCTCTTTATGTGTTCTGATTACTTTCTGTCTTTTCACTTCGATTAATTGAAAAGCTTACACGTTTCTAATTAAATGTATACGTACTAGGATTTCCGTATCAAAAGCTTGAAACAAATTTGGGACGCGTACGAATTAATTTCGTTTATACCAAGAATTAAATTCTCGACATCAAAGCGACTCATTGCATTTAAATTGATTAGCTGCTTTCACACTGCTTTAGTCGCGTTCACAATTTCAATTATTAAACCCACTTCGAATCGAATTGCAACAGTAAATTGAAATCGTTAACGAAAATATTGGCTGCTTTATAGAATTAACATTATAAATTGCACTCTGAATCCAGGGCCTTTGTATTATATCTAATAAAATCGTATTAAGTTGTTTGAATATTCTGTTACAAATTATTTATTTTTTTAGGCGCTCGTGAAAGATACTTGAATTGGGATAAAATTGATTTCTGGCAATGATCAGAAAATCAATTTATTATACAATAGAACTGAAGCATCGGTACTGTGAAGGAATAGACAAAACATTCTATTGAGAATGACATCGAAACAACGTCTGTCTCGGGAATCAAGTGCTGTCACTCGATGCAAAGATTGAGCGAAAGTTCAGAAAATCATTTTACTAAGCATTTGACTTTTAGAAAGGAAACCGTACGACTTCAGGAAAGGAAGAATCGCAGATACCGTCTACCTTCTGAATTAAGCGTCGTCAGACGATATCAAATACTGAACAAGAGTTTAGAAAATGAAGGAACAGGACCGTCGAGACTTTTTCTCGAAATAGAATTTGCAGTTCAGTGAAATCACGGAATAACAACGGACCCAGGTTCAGTGAGGTCCTCGAAGTGAAAGAGCGCCGTCGGAGGATCGCGCGACGGGATGACGGGAGGCGGAAAAAATTCGTCGCCGATAAATTCGGATCAGTGGCGCGAATAAATTCCGGCGTCGAGGCGAAAGGGAGAAACCGGAAACGGGACAGGATCCCGAGGAAAGAAGAGGGCAAGAAGGGTAGGGGGAAAGGGTAGATACGAGGAAGCTAACGGCTGATAACCGGTTGAATAATGGGCGGACGGATCGCGGCGGAGAAACGACGCGCGATGCAAATTGTTTTGGACGCGCCGCGAGTGCACCGGAACTGGGTAAAATTCGTGCCGTTTCCGGTGGAACTGTCCTCGTGGTCTCACTACTGTCGGCGGAACGTGACACGACCGAGCGCGAAATTAAGCAATTTTCACGACCAAGAATTATAATATGTCACAAAGGTCGGATAGATTCTACATGATTCAAATTCGTTTGTAAATTATTCCTTGTCAGAGTTTAAGAAAGAGAAACGTGTACAAGTGAATCAAAGAGGGCGTGTAAAGCGTGGCTTTAGGAGAAAGAATAACAGCGATCTCGTGAAAAGTGTAAAGGAAGTAGATAAGAAACGTTTGAAGAGCAAAGTAGAGAATCTAGGAAAGAATTAAAAGAAACTTGAAGAAACGTGAAAGGAACAGGGTTGGAAGTGTCTATAAAAGAAGGAAAGAGATAAAAAGTGGAGTTTGAGAGGAACTCGAGTAAGGAGCTTTCGGCTCGTTTCAAATTACCGGAATAAAACTGTTTAGAAATGCAAAATACAGTTACTGTCCAAAGCGAGAGACTCGAGGAATAAAATGATCAAAGGACCAAATAGAAAGTAAGAAAAGATTAGGAAGACCGGTCAAGGGATTAAAGCAAAGTTCAACAGCAGAAATATTCAGAGGCTCGTAAGGAAGGAAATCCGAGGGAAGTTGTACGGAGGAAACCCAATCTAAAAACTTCACGTGAGATTAAACGTCGGCCGGGTCTCGCGGGAGACTTTAAACTCGGTTCTTAATGGCGCAATACGTTTTAACGCGTCCACGGCCATCAAGTGAAAGTACGAACACCGTGGAACGGCTCAGCTGATCGTAAAACCGCCGGAAAACGTGGAAAAATAACCGAGCCAGCCCTTCTTCGTGGAGTCACGCTTATTTCGGTGCCGAGTCTTCGAATAAACTGCGGTGACAGTGATTGCGATCTTCGCAAAATGATTTGAAAGCGTGAAACGTTCCGGGTGAAGTGGGTGAATTATTTCTTAGCCGGAGAGTGTAATTAACGTTGGTCAGCGACGATGATGGCCGGAGCCGGTGTCAGCGTCGGCGGTGCCGGGATGCTGAGGACCAGGCGGAGGGACTGCAGCGTGAAACCGAACCGGAAGCTCGACCGGAAGTCCTCGAGGGGGATGATTTACGAGAACGAGGAGCTCAGATTAAGGACCATTCATATTAACGCCGAGGTGGAACAAGGTAAAAGGTTTCCCGTATCATCGGACCCGAATTCCCGCTGGGCCGCGAATTTGCAAATGAAACATTTATCTGAACAAACATTTCCATCGGGACTGAAGCGTGTATTCAGCCTCTGAATTTATACTTTTTACACGTTGAATTTTCTTACGAATGCATTAGATCCGCGGTCTGGTACGTTGTCCCAATTTACAAATTCCACGAGCTCGAGTAAACACTTTAATATGAGAATGACGAGTTTAATGTGGAAGACGTCTGTTTAAGAGGAAATTGTTGTTACCAAAGTACTAGGGAGTTTCGCAAGGGAAGCCTGGCGACTCTGACTAGTCGGTTCTTTCGCTACAAATAGACGTCCGCGTAGACCATCGTCGAACGCGTTGGCAAACTATTTTCGAAACTTGCTGTCCGGCCGGCAGCTGTCGCGGTTTCGGTTATTCGATCTCTCCCAGTCTAAATTACACTGATCTCCCTCAACGACTCGTGATAAATACTCAATACAAATAATCCTTGCCCATTTAAGTGATTTCAAAATGGAAACGTGAGAAACTGTTGTGTCAAGTTTAAACAGAAACCTGCATTTTCATTATTAATTATTTTGTATTTTAACGTTAAAAGTGAAATTCTACTATTAATAAATATGAGATTATGAGCTCGAGATGAACGAAGACTTGGGCTTTATCACGATTTTGAAATACTGACTGAGAACCCTGAACGATGGTAAGTGTATAAACGAACGTTTTCGATGAAACATTTCGAAACTGGGAAATCTGTCCAAAGTTAGGATCAGCACGAGTTCGGGTCTTGAACAGAAGTTTATGGTATCAATATGATTAATGCGCTGCTTGTACGATGAACAAACATACGTTATATACATTGTCTAAACATTTTAGAGTGACTTATGTTGATAAAATGGCTGATTATGTGCGCAACGCTAATGGAGCTGTTTGCGAGTCAGATATTTCAGTCGTAAGAACGATGATTCACGTGCCGCACGCTTTTATCATCGATTTTAAATCTGCTTTAAAACGACGATGCAGTTTCCAATTAAAGTTTTAATAAAGATTAACCACGGCTGACGCTCAGAAAATTCATACCTACATTGAATATAAAAAAATACAGGAAGGAGCCGTGAAACTGTATTAAAGTTTTAATTTCAAATTCAATAAAAAATGCAATTTTAATTGGAAGTTGCCCGTGTCTCAAAGATCGCGAGCTGTAGAGAGAATTCGAAACTAGGTTTAACGGATTCTATTACGCGAGCGATGAAATACGGGTAGAATTTTAGTGGCGAAACGGTGGAATCCAAGGATGAAAGGAAACCAATTTTCGAAGAGATACGGGACACTGATGAGAAACGTTTAGAGCGGCGTCGAATATTTTCATCCGCGGCCGGGAAACGCGAAAACCCGGCTATTTTCTCGGAAATTTGTTTACCCGCCGCGCCAAGAAAAGCTTTGTTTTGCCAGCGCGTCGATTCCCGCCCACGGAGACCCGCGAAAATCCTTCTGACCCGCGGTTCTACAAACCCAGATGTCGTCTCTATACATCCTTTGCGACGAAATAGAAATTATTTACACTGTAGACTTGTACGCGAAATCAGACGTTTTTAACACTAGAAAGACTGAAACTTAGTATATACCTATATTGCCCAAAGCAGTCAAATTGACTGCATTGTGAAAGAATAATGTGTAAAGAGATTTGTCTAAAATTAATTTTTAATATTTTTTATATTATTTACAGTCATATAACAAGTTATTAGTAAAT